GTGTGCCTTGGCAGTCTTGATTAATCAAACAAATAAATAAACACAAGGATAATTATGTGTCATTGTTGAGTAAATAACAGTGTGTGGTTTAGAAAATAATGCAAAATTAGAAGGAAAAAACAATGAAACAATACAGATTTCAGTATTCTGAGCCCCTTCTCTCCCCATAACTGACGGCAACAAAAGTCCTACATTATTCAATTAAAATAAAGAAAGTGTGGCTTGATATTGAGTAAGAAAAAGGTTGATAATTGCTGTGAGAATGGATCTGCGGAGAGCATTTTGCCGTGATCCCAACTCCTCTATTACCAAAGTTGAGGGAGCTCTATGCAAGTCAACGGGACGCCCTGATAGTTGAAACTCGATGCTAAAGGGCCCCCCTTGCGTTGGAAAGTGACGACAGGGACCCTTACATAACGTCAACATAGGCCGAGTTGGGAGTGAGAATGTGTTGACCAAGCCGATTTTGGCCATCAATGGGCGTCAGGCCGACGATGAGCGTTGACACGCCCTACTCAAATTGGTGTGTCCCGCAAGGAAATCACTCTGATTGACTGTTCAGCTAGCGAATCAGTGCATGAGTAGCGAAACGGAAGTGAGGGACCCAAACAAACGATTAAGAAGGCAAATGTGAGATTTAATTTAACTCCAGCTCTCGACACAGGTTCGGGAAAGCCCCATGAGCTTCTCGCTGTAGAGTGAAAATGGAACGCACACGCTATTTGTTGTTTGTTTATATCACGCAGTCTGTTCTTCTTCTCTCGGTTATCACGCAGTCTGTCTTCCGGTTGTTGCATCTTTTGAATGACGAATACACACTACCGCCGCCTGCTGGTAAGGAGAGTTATTGCCACTCAGCATGCGCAGTTCGTACGTGCAACTTGGCCTTCGGCTGAAGTCTTTGCAGTGTGTTCCAGTGCAACACATGGCCAAGACGCAGAGACGCGAGGCGACACAACAGTCGGGGGTCAGTCTGTGTCAGTTCTTTGGTGTCAGCTTGGTGTGTCCGGGCCTTAAGGGACAATTGTTGTTACCTTGGTCCAAGTGGCCCTAATTCCAGAGATTGTCATGTGTACGAGGAAGTTCTCGAATTGTCCTCATAAGACCCTGAGTGATAAGAAAATGTTTCCCTATTTTGAGGTTGTTCCAAACCATTTTATTTATGTGTTTATCAAGATGCTGGTTCTATTCTTCCTACTTTCGCCATGTTCTATTATAATATGCTTTAGGTGTAACAACATTTCCCAGTGCAGATTATTTTAGTTATTTACTTGATAGAAAGTTATTTAAAGGATATAATGTTGCTCATTACATTGACAATGCCCACACACAGAAGTGTCAGAGAAAAAGGGAGAAAGAGCTGAGGGAGGAAGGGAAGGGAAGTAGCATATAATGCTTTATCTCCATTAAAGACTGCTTTCCTCTAGGTAAAATATGAAGTTTTGCCCATTTAAGAAAAAAATGTTCCAAGTTTCCAAAGAAACTCATGCACGCCCAATTTAGCAGGGGATCCGTTCTTTTTCTGTGCCACTTGAGACTGTCTGTACTATCCAGTGTTAAGCTGTAGACCCATGTGATAACTTGGTACGATTTGTGCTGATTACGATTTATTCACGTCACCTGGGTCTGCAGGCGGACTATTGTGCAGAGTTGGAGTTAGAGTAGGAATTGGAGAGACACCGAATCGTCTTGTTATTTGGTCGCTCTGCGGCTGACCAGATGGGCTCTTTGCTTTCTGAGTCACTTTCCATAAAGCAGGCAATCAGTCAGGTTCTTAGGACTCGACCGACCCGGTATAGCGTGGATTAGTCTGAGTCTACTGTCGGGCTGTGGCTTTGTTACAGTGCAACCTTGGGGAAAAATCAAGGTCCTGGGACCATGATGTCTGATAAACAGACATCTCTGCATTATTTTTGTTTCTGGGCCAGAAAGGATCGGGATATGGCTTTTAAACAAACAATCCCTGGAGAGTGTTTGCCCTTATCGTTTTCTTCTCTTTAATCTAATTGAAGGCTTACATGTTATTCCCAAACTGATTAACTTCTAATTCCCTTTTAAACAATACTGTATGCCTCCCGTATGCTTAACAAACTGACAATGAAAAGATTGTTTTCTTCTAAAGGCACAATGCCCTAAAGGTTTGCTGCTTGCTGCCCTTCCTCTGTTATCTTGCTCTGTTAATTGCTCATTAGGAAGAAAATGTGGTTTTAATTGTCTGCCGGTTCAGACAGTCTGAAGTTCATTAGCAGTAATGTCCAAACTTCGCACAGAGTGGCTCATTTTGCCCCTGTAGACACAAACAGCAACACTCTGCCTGTTATTAATACATCCCAAAGAGCCTTAAGTGTGGGTTGTTTGTTTCTATAAAATAATTTAAATACAATATGATTAATTTTCTGGGATATAATTGCGCTGTCTATGCCTTATTGCATGTTTATGCAGTTGTACACAAAGCAAAATGCCCCCCTCAAAAGACAAATGTAAGTTTGTTGAACAGACCAAAGTAAGACTGTAAACAGTAAAGAACACATAATGGCTAGTCTGGGGACCATAGGCTGGGGACCCATATTTTTACTTAAGCTTTTACTCAATAAGAATATTTAGCCATGCTAGCAAATATGGGAGGCTGCACTGTTAAAGAAAACCGCTTGATAGATAAAGTTGAACAAAATGTTTTCCATATCTAGTATTCATGATAAAATTACCACTTTCATAATAGTCCATTTAAATGTCAGACTGAAATTAAATGCTTTGCTGGCAATAGACATTTCTCAGGTCATATTCTTCCGGAAAAGGTATATTGTTATACACAGTCCTTGGTGTGTTTCATGAATTCATCTACTGTACATAGTTATTACGTGAAAAATCTTTAGGTTTATTTAGCTATATCATATATATTGTTTTATGTTAACACTCAAAGTAACATTAAACCCAAAGTACCGTTGAGGCTTTTATGAATGCCATCTATTGTAAAAGTAATTCTGCAGTTAAGATATTTCAGTCCCGAGAGAAAGTGGTGGTTGGTTTTCTAGACCAACAATGCCATTTGTGGAGCCATGCTGCTAGTGTGGCCAAATAATATATCCGTCAATGAAACAAAAAATACACTCTTGGTAACTGCCCTTGGGAACGACCAAAAAACAATGTCATCTGGTTAATGATGTGTTGAAGCTTGCCATTTTTCTATAATAATATCACCTGTCCAAACAGACAGGAGTCATAATTACTCTGGCTGCTCTGGGTCTTTGTCATTTGAAAGTAAACATGTCGTTTTGGGGCACTTGCTGCAACTTTTCTGTCATTCTTCTTTAGAGGAGAAGTCAGCAATGACACCAAACATTAGTTCCTATAAATAATGCCTAATAAATATTTATTCTGCCCTTTTTTTATTTAAAATATTGATAGCCAGGGAGAAGCTTAGCTGAAGGTGTTGACAGCATCTGCAAGGCAGGGAATGCAGGGATTGATTACTCCTGCATTTCTTTTGCAGGCATTCCAGGCAGAAAAGTGAGAATGAGCCCTCAAAAAAACCAACATATTATGTTACATAAATGATATTCTGTCAATGTCTTTTCATTGTAACTTTGCTCTGTTTTGCTGTATATAAGGTAACTGTCTTGACTATATCAAAGATGCCTTAATTCCTGTTTTTCATTATAATAATTATTTCTGTTAAGGAGTTATTTATTTAGCTTTTAGCTGTCAGATCTAAAGAAAATGGGTGTCCTTTAACTCTTAGTTAGCGTTGCAATAACTGCCAGGTGCCCCAGGTGCCAACATGAACAAATAATTAATATTTTTTTTATTTTTTCTTCTGTTCCTCATCCTTCCCTTTTGTTTTTTTCTTGTCCTCTTCCAGTGGCCGTGTTATATTTGCAGGCTGTTGGAACCAAAGAATGGAGGGAGGTGAGTTAAGCAAACTTTTTTCTCTAAAATTTCGCATTTCTGTGTCTGCCTGTCTGCCGGTTTCTCTTTTGGGTATTATTAATTTCAAAAGTTTGCCCTGATGCTAGTGAGTTTCAGTCATGGCTGAGATGAGGATGTTATTAAGTTGAATTCCAGAGGCAACTCACTGCTAACTCAGGGAACATTGTTGAAGAAAATTGAAAGTCTCAAACTCTCCACTTGCCCAGAGAAGTGTAACCAATGTCTGAAATGGACTCAGGAAAAAAGCTTCATATACCTGACCCGAACTGATTGATTAATAGGTTAAGGAACAAATAAATAAATGAAAGGGATCTCATTATTAGGGTTTCGTGACTCAGGTCTGGGGGAAGTAGAAGGGAGATTCCTTTTCGGTCTCATCAAATATGCGCCCTCTGCTCCTCGAGACTTCCTTCTTCCTCGCCCTCTGTCACTCTTTTTTAAGGCTTGGACTTATGGGACTTTCTATTCATATCTCCCTTTTTTTTCCTTTTTCTTCCCGCCTCCTTGACACACAGACATATTTGCATCTCTTATCCCCACATTTCCTCTTCATCTCTTGTCCCTATTTCCCCTCTTATTATTTGGCTATGTCATTCTATCTTTAGTCGGTGTATTTACCCATTAGCGAATTCAAAGTCAACATTGATGTGTCAGTGGCGGCTTTGCCACGGCTGATCCCCTCACTTCAAGATACCTCACACCTATTTTATTCAATGTGGCAGGGCTTAATCAAAAACGCTGCATGAACGGAACTGCAATCAGCTGAGTAAACATCTCGCTGTCAGGCACACCGGGAGCCTGTAATTATGCTTAAATGGAAACCTAACAAATCCTTGTTTTTTGACATATTGTTTTGCATTATGGCAATAATCAATATATAATATGTGGATGAAATGTATCATTTGAATGAAAAATCATTTGAATTCCGAATTAACTAGCGAAAACAACTATGCCAATAGCATTTGTTTTATCAAATCGCTATTATCCTGAAGGTGTAACATGATGTAGCAAACCATTCAAACCCTTCTCTTTTCAAGGTTTCTTTGTTGGGTTTTCATTGTTGCCGTTTGCTGTTACTGCTGCGTGAGGCTGCGCACTAAATCGCTTTATTACAAGAGGTTCCATTCGTCTGAGCCAATGGATTTGATCTTCACTTACAGGCTCCCACAAATCTGGGCCCATGGAGTACTACACACATCACTGTCTGTGTGATTACATGCTGCAATACTAGAGTAAAGGCCTGGTCACACTATCTTACTATCACTATGTTGTTAAATTTATTTATTTAATTGGGATTGGTGTGATTAAATAAGCTTAACTCTGGCAACTTTGACAGATACAATTACAGAACAACATTTGGGAAGCTATATAGCTTATTAGAGTGAATGCCAAATTCATCTGATTTTAACCTCCTCTGTCGGAGTATAAAGGGCTCCAAAAAATTGAATATCTTCTGAGACAGAATTCAATTGCTACATTAAGCATTTTTTGCTAATACACATGGGTGATATTTAGCTGTGGCACTTTGTTGTGACCTCGTCAGAGGCCCTGAAAACACATTTTCTCAATTCACTTTATGCCATGAAACCAACAATGTTCTTGAAGAGTTTTGTTGTTTCCAATTCGGTTGGGCTAAATATCAAAAAGTGGATGTCTATATACTTTCTTAAAGGTGGGGTAGGTAATTTTGGAGAAACCAGCTCGAGTGCGCTAGAATTTGAAAATACAGAGCCCCTCCTCCAACACACACAAACGCACACATGACCAATGAGGGCACGAGATAAGTTTGTGCACAGATGGAAGGCTGACAGGCAGGTAAGCCATNCAATCACAGAGCTTGAGGACTATCACAGAGTTTGTCAAGCGAAGCGGAGAGAATACTTACTTCCGGGTGTAAAATTCTCTAAAGCAACTACTATGAGCTCAGCTCATAGTAGTTGCTTTAGAGAATTTTACACCCGGAAGTAAGTATTCTCTCCGCTTCGCTTGACAAACTCTGTGATAGTCCTCAAGCTCTGTGATTGGATGGTTTAGCCGCAATGCAAATATCTGAAATCTCTTTCAAGAGGCTTTGTCAAGACAAGAAATGGATAGTGTAAATTGATAAAAAAGTGAATCCCATTCTTTGAATTTGACTCAAATTAAAGCAGGAAAACTATCAAGACAGGAATCTCAAAGGGGGAAGTGCAGTCCTTATTCTTAATAGGTAAATATCTAACATTTCAGCATTGAAAAGGATAAAAGAACACCAGCTATTTGATCTGTCCAGTCGGTTGATGAGTTGTGAACTTCTTATCCCAGATATTTCAAACAATCACAGAAGAATCTGTAATTGATTTCAAGGTAACAATTTATTTCATTTTGTAGCCTGTGATAGCAACAGGGAAAAATCCACTTTGTGAAGTGAGCCCTCAATGTAGTTTTCTAAAAGAAGCTATATTAAATAGAATGTTCATCCACTAATGACACTTTTAAGATCCTGGCTGCTGTTAAATTTATATTTGAACCATGTCAAAGGATTTTAGTGATTTGACATTTGGAAAGGTATCAGAGAAACAAGCTGAGCACATGTTGGCCTTTACATAAGGTAAAACTGATATTTTAAAATCCTCAGATCTGTTTGTTTTGGACAAGGAGCTTATGTAGATAATCTGGCTCCTGGTGAAAACCTCAAAACTCTGAGGATTATCAAATTATCAGAGATACAAACTGAGCAAACGTTAGCAGTTAGCAACCAACCCCCTTCCACAAAACTGCATCAGAGAAATATTTTTTTTTACCATGAAACTGCTTTATTTATACAGACATAAAAATGTCTATATTGTACATTTTATGAGCAAAAACTTTCTCTCTCAGCATGCATGCCAACATTGACACAAGGTCATTATAAATTGGGAGTTGAGAAAATCCATGACTTACTACTAAGAATAATGTGTTATGTGTTATTGCCCTCTGAGATTCTGCTGTACATGTTTGACTAGAATGACAAGTATTTTATACAACTAGATCTGCGACTAAAGCAGACATATTAGAATGCTACGTGTAGTTAGCATCTTTATTTGTATATGTTGTTTGTTAGCTCAATTTGAAGGTGTTTACACAGTGTAACTTGTGTCAGACATACGGGGCGACTGTGGCTGTGAGGGAGTGTGGTCGTCTTTCAACCAGAAGGTTGTGGGTTCGATCCCAGCCCATGCAGTCAACATATCGATGTATCCTTGGGCAAGATACTTAACCCTGAGTTGCTCCCGATGGCATGGCCAACGGTGTGTGAATGTGTGTTAATGTTAGGTCCTAGAGTAAGGTACACTGCTCTGTATGAATGGGTGTGAATGGGTGAATGACATGTAGTATGTAAAGTGCTTTGAGGGGTCTTAAAGACTGGATAAAGCGCTATATAAGTACAGTCCATTTACCATTTACATACAGCATCTAGAATTATTTTTTGGTAGATAAAGAAAGCTTACACTGCTGCTTTACATCAAGGAACTGCAAACTCTACCACGTTAGCTGTCAACACATTCACCATGCTAATGCTCTACCTTTATCAACTGCCATGAAGGGTTCCGCTTTATTTGCTGAAATATGTGTATTAGACAGAGATTAGCTATCACAATTTTTACATAACTAATCTATCTTGCCAATGTTACATTTAAATCTCAAATCTTTAGGAACCACAGACATATTTCTCCAGTCGAAGAATGTGAAAACACCTCTCTAGCAAACCCTTGCTCAGTTCACTCAGTATAGGTAAGATCTGACATACTGTAGACAAACAATAATACATTTTTAGTAAAACAAATCTTTAATAATTGCAATAATTGAATAATTATTAGTGTTTATATGGACCTGATTGAAACTTCAGCAAAACAAAACAATGAAGCAGCTTCAAAAACCACTTTAACAACTGTACGGAAATATATTTTACTGCAGTGCACTTTGTCACATCTACTTTATCTCTTTTTTACAGGACATAAAGAACATCATCTCCAGCATGTACATTCTAGAAAAGTACACTAAAAGAAGACATTTCAATCCCTTTTATATTAAAATGTATGTCCTATCAGTGTGATGAGTGTAATTGAAAATGCCAGAGTGTACTTTCGGTCTCACCCGGCTAATGCCGAGCGAGCTGACAGCGACAGTCACCTGTGTGAAGGCTTTTTTTCTTTTTTTACGACTGGGGATTTCTTGCCGCCCGTCTCTTGGATTTGCACCGTAGGATAATATAATCAGAGAGTAGGCAGACATAGACAGGGCACAACAGTCTTCCTTGCAGACTGGGAGCACTAGCTGCTTGCTGTGAGGTGAAACAAAAAGGTGGTCGGGTGACAGGAGTATGGGGGGTTGGTGCTTGAAAGGCAGGACAGAAGGAGGATAAAATTGAATATTTTAGTGAAGGACAGGGATGGAAAGTGAAATAAGAATAAGGAGAATTTCAGTGGGGAAAAGAGTGGGTAAAAAATACATGAACATGAAAAAAGAAGGAGGTAAAGTAAAGAGATGAGATGGATGGATGCCTGTTTGGAAAATGGCAACAGAGTGGAAATCCACTGTCAGGTGGTGACAGATTTCAGGAGAAAAGGGGGGTTGCTGTCAGACATCCGTCACAGATACACCTCTCACACAACTATTCCGCTGAGACCTGGTGGGCGCACATCCCTGCTAATCTATTGATCTGCTGCCAAGTGAAGGATAAGACAAGATAGCCCCGGACCTTCGGAGGCCAGTTATTGAACCTTAAGGGAGAAGCTATTACCAACCTGTTAAAGCCCTGGATTTATTTGTTTTTATTTCGGAAAATAAGAGATACCCACATCACCCTTCCCTGACATGGCATAGATCTTGACCCAAAAATAAATGCTATAACTACAATGTTTCGATTGTATGCATCTGCCAACCAACCAAGTCGCAGTAAATTCCCACGTCTGTCTAAAACTTGTCCCTTCATCCCTTGATCCAATTTGATTTATTTGTAAAATTGTCATATCAATATATGAATCATTGAGGTATGACCGAAAATGTGCGCCAAATATAAATAATTTCCCGCCAACTTCTCTTCAGATTTTGTGTTCACACTAATTGGATTCAGGACAAAGTTCTCTTTGTCCATTGTTACTGGAAGTTAAAAAAGATGGAGAAGGGCAACATTTTAATCTTGTTTCAAGGGCTAGAGAGAAGATGAATAGTTACGTTCAGAGCTGGAGCTGGGAGGCAATACACCTGGCTTAGCATAAAGACTACTAGAAGAGAAAGCTAGGGTAGAATTCTGCCCTGCTTAGAGGTTAAAACAATATTTGTAAATTGTATTGTGTTTGTTAATCTGTACACAAACCAATATCCCTATACAAAAGCTTGTCAATAAATCAACCTTGACTTTTGGTTTCACACAAGTCACAAAGATAGTTTGCATATCCCCTGTTGCCTTAAGAATCTCATTATTTTTAAAATGTATTGTAACATTGTTATCCGGCTAGTAGGGGTGTAACGGTTCACAAACATTTAGGCTCGGTACGTACCTCGGTTTTTAGGTCACGGTTCGGTACGTTTTCAGTACAGCAGAAAAAATGATCACAAAACCTATAATATGTTTTTTTTTTTTTATTATTATTATTATTAAACTGTGAATTATGTATCACTCAAATAAATAAAAAATATAATAAAATAAACATTAAGGTGCAGCATTTCGAAGAACTGAAATAATCTGTATTTGAACTTTACTGTACTAGTACTCACAAAACATAAACTATTAGTTTTGGGTTTTTAATTATTATTAAAACTGTGAATATTCACTCAAATAAATACAAAATATAATAAAATAAAGATTAAGGTGCAGCATTTCGATGAACTGAAATAATCTGTATTTGAACCCTACTGTACTAGTCCCTAAACAGCCAGTTTGAAATTATGACTTGCTTGTCATTGTATTTTCATGTTTTTTTAAAGAAAAATGTACTTGTCCACATTGCTTGCCGAAAGGTAGTGATGGCAAAATGAAGCTTTGAATGAAGCATCGAACCACTTGGACAATTGTGTCGGAAATAGGTTCATTTATCGAAGCTTCAAGTTACAGCGCAACCTTGCGCCTGCGATGGCAAGGCGCAAGTGGGTTTAAGTATCTTTGAACTTGAAAAATATTCGATGCACACCACTAAGACTGAATATCATTGTTTCTATGCCCAATTAAAGATGTAATTGTGTGTATCGTATGAGAAAGGACTAGAGGAGGCTGGACATTTTTTGGGCGGAGAGGCCTTTTATCAGTCCATTAAAGTATTAAAGTTGAAAAGGCAAATGATTAAAAGTTGTAATATTCCGGGCATTGAACCAGCGGCGCGGAAGGACCATCGCCCGCATCCGCGTGCTCTACCACTTGAAGTATCAATCCTTAGACAATGAAGTGTTTTTATATTACTCATTGTTCTGTTCCAAACTTCTCCACATTTCGAAGTGTTTCACGGAGCAGAACACTATTTTTCTTCCGGCTTGCTCTATAATGATTCCAATTTCAATGCAATACGAACCAACAGGCTTCAACAGCAACAACGCAAACACGACAACAAACCCAACACATTGCGCATTGTTTAGAGTGGTTATTAAAGTTGTGAAGCGCTCAAAATTTGAAACGTTTAACCTTCAGGATCGAGAACGAGCAGTGCATTGAATC